AAGGGGATTAACCATACTATCTTAACTCTTATTCCCAAAAAGCTGAGACCCACTTATGTTTTAGACTATAGGCCACTCTCTTTGTGTACTGTCATTTATAAAATTATATCCAAGATTTTGGTTGTTAGACTAAATTCTGTCCTTCATCATTGCATCTCCAATGCTCAATCAGCTTTTATCCATGGTAGGCAAATTTTAGATAATGTCATCATAGCTAATGAATGCATACATTTCTTGAATAGTAAGAGAAAAGGCAAAGATTGTTACATGGCTTTGAAACTTGACATGACTAAGACCTATGATAGGGTGGAATAGGACTTTTTAGCTAGGATTTGCTTGAATATGGGATTCTCTGATCTTTTTGTTTCTTGGCTTCTTGCTTGCATTTGCTCTACTTCTTTCTCTATGAACCTTAATGGGAGTGTGTGTGTGTGGGGGGGGGGGGTTCTGTATTCTTACTAGAGGATTAAGACAGGGGGATCCTTCATCCCCCTATTTGTTCATTATCCTTTCTTAGGCTTTTTCCAACCAAATCGCCAATGCTACTCGTAGAAATGAATTCTTTGGATTGAAAATTAGTAGGCATGCTCCTTCCATTACTCATCTTTTTTTTGCAGACGATTCAATTCTCTTATGTAGGGCTAATATTGATAATGTTAGGGCCATTTTAAACATCTTAAACTCTTATGAATCAGCTTCAGGCCAAATGGTAAACCTGGAAAAATCTTCAGTGTTATTTTCCAGGAATTCAGATGAGAGGATAAGATCTGAGGTTAGCCAAGTTCTGAAGGGGATTTCTTGGGTGTCTTCGTCTAGATATCTAGGGCTTCCTTTAGGAATTGGTAAATTAAAAAAAGAGGTGTTTAAATTTGTGAGTGAGGCTTTGTCTAAAAAGATCAACAATTAGAAAATGCCTTTTTGAATAAAGCAGGGAAAGATGTGCTTATTTTATCTGTTATTAGTGTTATCCCTACCTATGTTATGTCTTGCTTCAAAATCCATGTGGCTATTTGTTCTGAGATTTGTAGAAATGTTGCTATTTTTTGGTGGGGGAAATTAGAGAAGGGGGAAATAGAATTCACTGGGCTGCTTGGGAGAGGCTAGCTAGACCTAAGTTCAAAGGAGAGTTAGGTTTTAAGGACCTCAGAGCATTTAATGATGCTCTATTCATGAAACAGCTTTGGAGAGTCCTAACTAAACCTAATTTATTGATGAGTAAGGTCATGAGAGGGAAATATTTGTTTAAAAGCAAGCTGTGTGAGGTTAAGGTTAAGAGTGGGGATTCATGGCTTTGGAGGAGTTGGTTGGGGGTGAGAGAGGGGTTTAGGTTAGGATTGAGAGTGCAGGTGAGGAATGGGTAATCCACACACATATGGAGGGACCCATGGGTTCCCTGTAACTATTCTTTTAAGTCTTAGAGTGTGTTTGGTAGAGATAGATCTCAGCTTACCAAAGTGAAGAAGTTGTTCCTAGAGGGTAGATATGAGTGGGACAGGGAGTTAGTGTTTCAAACTTTTCTCCCCAGAGAGGCATAAGTTATAATAGATTTACCCCTGAGTACTGTTGGGCTTAGTGATAGGTTCATTTGACACTGGGAAAAATCAGGATGCTTCACCGTGAAATCTACATACCTCATGCTTCGAGAACATTTAGAAGAAAAAAAAGTGAGATGTACTGTGCAAGATCATCTAGCAGATTTCTAGAGCAAATGTGGAAGACAGTCTGGTAGCTGCCCATCAAACAGAAGTTGAAAATGTTTATCTGGAGATGTTGGCATGGATTCCTGGGCACAAACACTCAACTGGTGAAGAAAGGAATACGTGGATTGCATTTGTACTTCTTGTGGTGAGGAGAATGAAGACCAAAACCATATCTTCTTCAGGTATCCAAAGGCTACAACATGTTGGAAAATACTAGGGATAACTTGGACAACTGTGGAAGGAGGGGATGGAGATTTCAAAAGCTGGTGGAGTGAGGTGTGTGCTGCCCCCAAAAGGAAATTGCCTTGAAGATAGAGTATGTATATCAGTATACCTGTTGTGGACTCTTTGGAAAGACATGAATGCCAGGGTCTTCAGAAAACAACAAAAGATGGAGAGACATATTGTAGAAGAAGCTCGAAGAGAATGGATGGAATTTCTCAGCATTCAAGAGGAGGTTGATACTCAGGTATCTGAACATAACAGAGATCATCAAAGCAGATTTGAGGAACAATTTTGTTCAGCAGTAGGACATAGATTCTTCACTGTCAGTGCTGCAGGCCCTCATACAGAAGGATGGAAGTTGAAATGTGTGGCTGTAGAAGGGCACAACACAATTCAAGAATGGGAATCTCAAATCCAAGTTGGTGGACATCAAAAAGAAGCTGACTTAATTGCTTTGAGATGGGGATTACATCAGATAAAAACACTAAACTGGCCTGAGATCATCTGCAGAGTGAAGGAGGAACAACTCAAAGCTGGTCTTCATAAGTGTATTGATTGTGCTTCTATGTCTGTCATTGGAGAGGATATTGCTGTGTTAGTGTCTTTTTTTGTTTCTTGTGTATTTGTATCAGACCTATTATTTTCAAATTCTGGTATTGGTTAATTTAGTAGGTTCTTTGTGGGGGTTAAGGTACTCTTCCCTTGTGGAGTGCCATCATAGCAAGATGTAACTAAAGATGGTACGTGTGTAAACCATTTGGTTTCGGCTTGTATCTTTTACTGAGATAATGAAGTTGTTTGATTGTCGTTTAGAAAAAAATAAAATAAAAAATTTTAGCCCACCAGTAAAAGACCCAATCAACTTGTGTAATGGCAGTTCTGTAATATACCATCGTTTTGCCTTGTAACTATATATACCCGTCAGCTCAACCTTAGTGTAGACTTTCCCGGTAAATACTTAGGTGTGCTCTGGCACACCTTGTTAGGTGTGCCAGGGCCTTTTGTAAAATACACCCCTCCCAAAAGCGCGTGAGGTAAGGAGGTAAGACATTTTTTTAAATGGGACATGTGTCTCATTTCTATTGGGTAATGAAATTCATATATCATATTATATAAATTAAATTATCATTCATATTTTGTATCAAAAAATAAAAATAAAAATACCAAAATTCATAATTTTTCATTCTCTACAAATAGAAACCATATTTGATTTTTTTGGAACACAATTAATTTATCATTTTTTACAATTAATTTATCTTATTAGAAAATTATGACATAAATCTATAATTAGTTGAATATATTACATAGTAAGATGGACATGTTATAGAGTAAGATGAACATGTCATAGAATAAGATGAAAATGTTACATTTTCACAGATGAAATTTAGATGAACGTGTTACATAATAAAATGAACATGTTCTAAAATAAGATGAACGTGTTACATATTAAAATGAACATGTTGTAGAATAAGATGAACATGTTACATACACAATAAGGTGAACATGTTACATAATAAATGAACATGTTATAGAATAAAATGAACATGTTACATAATATAAATGAACATGTTATAGAATAAGATGAACATGTTACATAATAAATGAACATGTTATAGAATAAGATGAACATGATACATACACAATAAGGTGAACATGTTACGTAATAAAATGAACATGTTATAGAATAAGATGAACATTGTTACATAATAAAATGAACATGTTATAGAATAAGATGAACATGTTACATACACAATAAGGTGAACATGTTGTAAAATAAGATGAATATGTATTATTTCAATCTGCAATCTGTAACATAATCATCATATTTGAAAACATATTCATTTTATTATGTAACATGCTCATTATATGTCAGTATAATAAAATAATTACGAAAAAACAAAAAATTAGTTGTGTTCAAAAACCTATCAAATGTGGTCTCTATTTATAGATAATGAAAAATTATGAATTTTGGTATTTTTATTTTATTTTTTTAATATAAAAAATTAATGATATTTTAATTTATGTAATATGTCTCACTTTTCAATTTAAAAAGGAAAAATAAGAATGTGCCCTACACTCTCTAAATTTTCTTGTTTTTGGGGTGAGGGAGGCGCGTGCAAAACTGCCACACGGTAGTACTGAGTAGAGATGTTAAACGGGCTAGCCCTAGCGGACTTTGAGCTAAACGGTCCGGGCCTAAAAAGCCCGAATTTAAACGGGCTATCAATAAAAGGACATAACCCTAACCCTAGCAGGCTTCGGGTTAAACGGGCTAAGCGGGCTTTAATAATAATAATAATAATAATAATAATAATAATAATAATAATAATAATAATAATAATGTAATAAAAAATATCAAAAATAAAAAGAAAAAAATTATAAAAAAATTACAACGACTAATTAACGATTGTTTTCAACGGTATTTATTATTTGCCGCTCTATATACAACTACACATCATATATGAACACATACTACAAACTCTTAAATAACATTTTTTTTCAAAAGAAAAAAATATTCGAATTATTACTTACAATTACCATTTCACTACTTATTTTGTACGTTTTGGAAATTTTTACGATATTATATCACTATAAATTCTATCACTATATTTCATTTGTTAGGTCTTTGTCTCATTTGTTTCCTATTAGTCGTTCTGATTGAGTTAAATATTTCGGTGGGGAGTACAATAAGAATATTGTTAATAATTATCTTTCAAAATCAATATAATCCGTTACAACTCATACTTATATGTGAAGTGGAATAGCAAAATTTTAATATACAATGAATCTAAAAGTATATTTATTACTTGCTGCAAATATTTACAACGTCCAACTCAAGTTAAACGGGTCAGCCCTAGCGGGTTTCGGGCTAGCCCTAACGCGCTTCGGTTTAAACGGTCTGGGCCTAAAAAATCCTGATTTAAACGAGCTACCAATAAAAAGCTCTAACCCTATTTTTTTCAGGCTAAACGGGCCGACCCGTCGGGCCAAGGACCATTTAACATCTCTAGTACTGAGACTTTCCCACTCCCCACCTCAAAACCCTAGCTCCGCTGCAAACTCCAAACATCCACAATGGCCGCCGCCGCCCGCCCCATCGTCACCGTCCATACCGTGGAGAGCGACATGGCCACCGACGGCGACGCCGCCAACTCCCTTCCCCTCCCGGACGTGATGAAGGCGGCGATCCGCCCTGACATTGTCACATTCGTCCACGGCCAGCTCTCCAACAACGCTCGCCAGTCCTACGCCGTCTCCAAGCGCGCCGGCTACAAGACCTCCGCCAAGTCCTGGGGAACCGGGCGCGCCGTCTCCCGTATCCCCCGCGTCCCCGGTGGAGGCACCCACCGCGCCGGCCAGGGAGCCTTCGGGAACATGTGCAAAGGCGGCGGCATGTACGCGCCGACCAAGACCTGGCGCCGCTGGCACAGGGCCGTCAACGTCCCCCAGAAGAGGCACGCCGTGGTCTCGGCGATCGCCGCCTCTGCCGTCCCCTCGCTCGTGCTCGCGCGCGGCCACAGGATCGAGGAAGCTCCGGAGCTTCCTTTGGTCGTGTCGGACACCGTCGAGGCTGTTGAGAAGACCAGCGCCGCCATCAAAATCCTCAAACAGGTCGGTGCATACCCTGATACCGAGAAGGCTAAAGACAGTCATGCTATTCGCCCCGGAAAGGGTAAAATGCGCAACCGGCGCTACATTTCCAGGAAAGGCCCTCTAGTGGTGTACGGGACTGAAGGCACCAAGCTGACCAAGGCTTTCAGGAACATCCCCGGAGTTGAGCTTGCCCACGTGTCCAGACTCAATCTCCTCAAGCTCGCCCCTGGAGGCCATCTTGGGAGGTTTGTTGTCTGGACAAAATCTGCTTTCGAGAAGCTTGATGAGATTTACGGTACATTCGACAAGCCGTCTGAGATGAAGAAGGGATATGTACTGCCAAAGACCAAGATGGTGAATGCCGACCTGGCGAGGATCATCAATTCTGATGAGGTGCAGTCTGTTGTGAAGCCTATCAAGAAGGAGATCAAGAGGGCTCCATTGAAGAAGAACCCGCTGAAGAATCTGAATGTGATGTTGAAGCTCAACCCTTATGCTAAGGCTGCCAAGAGGATGTCTCTATTGGCCGAGGCCCAGAGAGTTCTGGCTAAGAAGGAGAAGCTTGACAAGAAGAGGAAGCAGATCACCAAGGTACAATGTTCATCTTTTAATATGCTTAAGGAAGGTCCATTACGCTTATATTTGTTCATGGATATTTGGGTTTGTGATCGTATGGTGTTTGCAATATAAGAATCTTTATAAGTCAAATATGTCATATGTCAACATCAGTCTGTTTTGTGTTCTGTATTTCTTTTTATTGCATATGATCGATTGATTGTTCAAAGCATCTGGTAGAGTATTCATCTTTATTATTGATGCTGGTTTATTATTGTTACACTTTATTGGTAGCAAAACATATTGTATCTTAGGAGCCCATATGAAAACTTGGCAATTGGAACATTTATTTGTCAGACTTTTCTATGTGCTTAAACTATTTTCGCACATCACGATAAGCTAACATCTGTAAAGGAGGAAAGATGGAGATTAAATTGTGAGACAGGCTTTCCTATATAGCCAATTACCATATATTTCTGTATCACATCTTGCTTTGCTTGTTTTACTGCTGATGTGAATTTGATGTTGTTGTTTTGCTAGTCTGAGATTCTTGTATCTGTTGTTTGTGACATTTTTCTTCGTAATGTCGGTGAAACTCTTTGCTTGACTTTCAGATTAAACTACTATTATTCCTTCTCTACGTAATGATATTAGTGATATAAAAGACTAAAGTTTGTACTGCCCCAGCACCTAATTGTGTGCATTACTTGGCTTAAATTAGTTTAATAGGCTCCATGTTGCTTATAATTGTTGCACTCTGAAGTGGTTATTGCATTTCATTATCCCCTCATAATTTATTCTTTGCTCTTGGCTACTTGTTTCCCTTGGAAGTTAGTCTAGTTATATGGAGTAATTTCTTCCAAAGTACTCGGGTCTTCCTACAATTTAAAACAGTTCGTAAGACAACGGTACTTAATGATTATTGTTGGTAATAATTGTCAAATTACTAACTTGACATTTTCTTCTAAGTCTGTTTCGTTGATAACTAATCATATTAGCTATGGATGGCAAAGGAACTAATATTGCAGTCTATTTAAAAAACAATTGTATCTATGTGGACTCCAAATTAGTATCATGGCCTAACATTGTAAGTCTGGTTTAATTGAGATACGGTCATACATGTAAATGAATATTATTTCTATCCATGTAGATCATCTGAAATAGTAACATGGCTTACATTTCTAGGTGGAGTGGTTATACATTCTGGACTTTCTGTTTATGAACTAGCTGCGTTTCTTGTTTTTGTTTCCACTATTTTCTTTTGCAGGAAGAGGCATCCGCAATCCAATCCGCTGGCAAGTCTTGGTACAAGACAATGATCTCAGACAGTGATTATTCAGAATTCGAGAACTTCTCCAAGTGGTTAGGCGTGTCTCAGTGATTTAATGTCTATTTTTATTTCAGTTAAAACCCATACTTTTTGTTTGTTTTTTCTTCTGGTATTTACATTGATCTTTGAGGACATGAATGGGATCGTATGGGATGGGGATGACTTCAACGAGTTTCCAAGCTCATCAAAAGTTTTCCCTTCGCATGCTTTGATGCCCAGGTTTCTGCTCGGTTTGAGACAATTTTGTCTAGGCTATGTTTTAAGGATTTACGGATTTTCATGTGATCATGTCGCGGTATTCCCGGTTTTGTTAATTCTTTGTTTTATCCATTTGGTGGTGTGGTTTGTAAATCTGATTTTATGCATCTCCTTCCTGCTCTTTCTCGTGGTGCATGAAAATTCATCTTTAGTATAAGTTGATGTTAGTTTTTTTGCCTGAGGATGATTTCAGTTATACTGAAGTTGAAAATCGAGCTGTGTGTTTTTTCATTGTATTGCCAAGTGGCAATAATACCTGCTAGCTTTCCAAACCAGCTACAGCCAAACAGGAGAAGGGGTTGAAGCCAAACAAAAGAAGTTTCACCCTCAACAGCAAAATTAGCCAACTTTTTACAAGAAGCCAAAACCAGACAACTTTAAATACACAAGAAGAAAACAAATTCGACAAAAGGTAGATATCGTCAGCTATAACCCCTGCTGCTCCTTGGAACTTCGTTCTAAGAGTCAACATTTCAGCTATAACTTTCCGCCAAAGCTCTTGCCTAGCATTCACCATAGCCAGTCTCACAGCTAGAAGTGTGTCTTCAACTGGATTTGATTTAACATCCCTAAAAGAACACCAAGCTCTGAGATTAATTTGATTTTCATCCCATGCTAACCCACCCAAACCAACACCTTTGAAAAAAGCATAAGAAGTACCCTTCTAGCCGACTCTAGCCGACTCATTTATTAAACCAATACTAACTCAAACAAGATGTGCTAGCCTCGGCTCAACTCAGATAACACTCTTGAATGAAGTATAGGAATACGATAATGATGTAGGGAAGCGTACGAGTGAGAAAGATAAACGAGATACTCTCTCGATAAAAATTCACAATCAATTCATATTTTCATTCAATAATCAACTGAATAAAACAATAATGAGGAACCCTTTAAATAAGACTCTTAAACCCTATTCCTAAGTTGTCCAACAAGACAAAATCTCTTATAATAATATTTAATTATAACTTATTCTACAAGATACCTATTAAATAATAATAATAATAACAACAATAATAATAATAATTTACATCACTAATCTACACCATTCTCTCTCGGTTCGGAAGGCTTCGCCATCGAACCATGCGCTCATGTGGCAGGCGTGTGGTGTCGAACTCATGGTAGAAAACCCCGTCGTTCTCCCAGTCGAACACGAAGGTTAAATGTCGCTCAACCTCACATAACAAATGCAGGGTCGGATCCTTAGTCTCATAAGACATTTTTGGTTCTTCAGAGAACTTACAAACAGGTTCTTCAATTTATTATCTTGCGACATGTCATCCTTTCTTTAAGAAAACCTTTGGCGCCAAATATCAAGTGTCCCCACTGTAGAATATGCCAATGCACGATGGTTGTGTTTCCACTGTTGTAACGCAGTCTCTGTGCCCGAGTGCCCGTGGTGCTCATTTTTAGAATAAAGAGCAATAAAATCAACAACCTCTAATAACATGGATGATTATTTTTTTCGTGGCTTACACATGCCGAAATCAGAAAGCGTCACCTCGGGCTCTGGAGGCAATTCATCGAAAATCGGCGGACCGCCATACAATGGCCCGTCATCATGTTCTCCATTGAATTAGGGATGTCAACGCGAAACGAGCCCGCCCATCGACCATATTCGCGATCAAACTGCCAGTCGAACCCCGCAAAGCCGCCGGCACCATCACGTTGCGTCGGGCACGATATCTGCCAGCAAAGGCAGACCTCGCGCCTGCCTGTGTCATCTCGTTGATCGTCGTCGTCCACGAAGATCGGGCCCGCCGCATGTCACGACAACCGTATGCAGCGAAGAGATCAACCTCGACGTGTGGGGGTGGAAAATCGTCGAAGGGATTCACCTCCGAGACTGTCTCCTTGCCATCGTATCGAGCCGAAGACCAAACCACTAAGTCCGGCGGCTCAAATTGTAGATAGCGGCCTGTCGTTTGCAACATCTTATCTTCACGACAGCATCGTGAATCGTGCTGATTTTTTATACCAACTGATGTAGGGAAGCGTACGAGTGGGAAAGATAAACGAGATACGCTCTCGATAAAACTCACAATCACTTCATATTTCATTCAGTAATCAACTGAATAAAACAATAGATGAGGAGCCCTTTAAATAAGATTCTTAAACCATATTCCTAACTTGTTCAACAAGACAAGATCTCTTATAATAATATTTAATTTCTAACTTATTCTCCAAGATACCTATTAAATAATAATAATAATAATAATAATAATAATAATAATAATAATAATAATAATAATAATAATAATAATCCACACCACTAATCTACACCAGATAATGTAGTGAACTAATCAGGTTTTCTGTCTGTCTGTTTTGGCCCGAGACTAGATAAAAGAAACTAACTTTGATTCTCATTTTTTTTTTTTTGGTCAGTTCAGTCTACTTATTTATTATTATTATTATTATTATTATTATTATTATTATTATTATTATTATTATTATTATTATTATTATTATTATTATTATTATTATTATTATTATGGTTGTTATTATTATTATTATTGCCAAGTAATTAAAATTGAATAAATAGGTGTATATAAAATTATCTACTGCTATGTTCCTAAAATACTTGTATTATCCTGTCATAAATTCACAATTTTAATATATCAAATGACAAGTAATATAGGATAGGATATTACAGTAAAGCAGATCTACTTAGTCCAACTAACAGCAGCAAGTCAAAAGGGGGGTTTTCTTTTGATTGTGGCAGCCAATAAATTAGGTCTATTGGTTCATGTGAAATGATAATTAAATTGACAATAATGTCATAACTTTTCATAGTATCAGTATTATGTGATGTCACCTCAATCAATTCCCGATTATTGTCATTTTCCATACTAAAATGACATTTAACCTTTTTCATTGTAAAAGTTTTATTTTAAAATGTCACATTAGTCATGTTTTAAAGTTGGTTTTGCTTTGAAGACATCAGATGACTCGACTTATGGAGTCATCTATAGTTATGCATACATGATGTACTGACACGTGTCCTACAATAAATACACATTGGACATGTATCAGTATAAAGTTATGGATTACTCTCCATAACAGAATCATCCGACGTCTCTATAGATTTTTTTGATTTTCAAAGTTGATTGATGCTTTTCAAATGTATGTGTCCTAAGAACCTCCCCAACGGTACACCAAAACACAAAAAAGAAAAAAAAAATGCATAAATTTGCTCCAACCGACATGCAAACGCAAACGTGGTTTTGGCCTTTATCTCTCTCTGCAAAATGCAAATATGCGTTTGTACGGTAGACAAACGATATATATTTTCTCATATAACATTTTGGCCCATTTATATTTTATACTTTATAGTGTGCAAAAATGTCTTTTACGATTTGTTTCGTATTGTATGTTAAATAAATTAATTGCAATTTTTTAGTTTTTTTTTTTTCACATTACTATTTGTAATAATGTTTTATCTTTAATTTATATTTATACATCTTTTATCTTACTAGATACAATAAAAAATTATCATAAAATATGAAATATACACAAATAAAATAAGATATTTATATACGATGAGTACATTCACTAATCAAAAAAAATTATGAAAGTAATTGTTAAAATTTCTAGGACATTCCTAGAAAAGTTGAATAAATTTGTGAAGGGTTTATGAAAGTATTGATAATAAATTCAGATAATATAACTTTTTATAATGTTATTCAAATTTAAAATAAAGAATAATTTACTTTTTTACTTACATGAAAAATATTTATTCAATATTTTTTATTAAGGGAGTCTTCTTTAAAAATCCCTACACCTTAAATGAATTTCCAAGTCAGTCCCTTTATATAATTTTGTTCCATTTCACTACCTACCCCCTTAATCAAGTTCCACTTAAATCCCTCCTATTAAAATAAATCACAGAAAAATGAAATTATGACATCATCCCACTACCTATCCAATTTTACACATTATTTTAATGTTCTCTCTTACCTAAAAGACATCTTCTTCCACAAGTTTTGTTCAATTCCTGCCTGCTCTGCTTTCTTTCTTCATTAGCGGCGCCAGTTTTTTTTTTTTTTTTTTTTTTTTTTTTTTTTTTTTTTTTTTTTTTTTCTGCAGGTTCCTCTCGTCGGCGACATCAAATACAAACCGGATCCTGAGGCATTTTCCGGAGGCAACAAATTCGGCGATATTGAGGCTTTTTCCGACAAAAAATCCCTGTTTCTCCGGCCAAAATTATCTATTTCTGTGTCCGATTCCAATTTTTCCAGCAACATTGGGGCTTTTTTCCAGCAAAAACTTGAAGTAGTAAGTAGTGTATGTATTATATGAGAAGTTTGGAGTCTAAAAATCGTATTAAATTCATATATTTTTGTTGAATTTTTGAAGGACTGCATTTTTAATATTGTTGTTTATATTAACCCTAAAACAAATAAAGGGATCAAAATCTTTTGCTTTTTGTGCTCATGTATACTAAATTTATGCTGTTGTTAGGTTATGTTAGGTGTTATTCACCATTAAACAAAGAAATAATATGAGAATAGTCATAGTACCACTATTCATGATTTATGTACCTCTGTTTGTATGTATAGTACCCACTTTGCTCTCTGTTGCTACCATATGTGCTGGGAAATGTGAACTTGTTTTTTTGTATCCAATTGTTGTTAGATACATGGAAGGGGCACAAAGTGATATATTAGAGGGTTGTACCTACAAAGATGAAATGTATGTGTTCTCTATGAACCTTGAATCAACTCTTGACGATGTGTACAATCTCATTGGTAAGAAGTGGCCGATTGTTAGTTTGGAAACCGTCATGTTAAACT